TTTCATCTAAATCAAGTCAAGGAAATCGTGAATTTTGAACGAAATAGGCATGATTTCTTGTTTTTGCAGCATCCAAATCTTGTAAAACTTTATGGTGTTGTATTGAGGGGGATCAATTATTGGTGGTGTATGAATACATGGAGAATAATAGCCTTGCTCATGCCTTGTTTGGTAAGTTAAATTTACTTTGAGCATTTGATAAAAAATAAATTGGTACTAAGAGAACCAAAAAACATAGGTTATGATGGTTTTGGGGTGAGATGTAATTCCTCATATGACTATTGGTAGGGCCAGAAAAATGCCAGCAACAATTGGACTGGCAAACGAGGCGCAAGATCTGTTTGGGCATAGCTAGAGGTTTAGCTTTTCTGCATGAAGAATCGAAACTCAAGATTGTTCACAGAGATATCAAAGCTACTAATGTACTGCTTGATAAGGACCTAAACCCAAAAATATCTGACTTTGGGTTAGCCAAGCTGGATGAAGAGGAAAAAACCCACATCAGTACCAGAGTAGCAGGAACCATGTGAGTTGCACCACATTTTTAGATATGTTGAGATAAAAAAATTTCTTTTTCCTATGCTTTTTCATATTTTATTTGCCTGTCATTTGTGTGTGTATATCTGTCAAGATCACTAACTTTTGAACCTTTTTTTTCCAAATTGTGCAACAATTATGTCATGCAGAGGATATATGGCACCAGAATATGCTCTGTGGGGTTATCTAACCTATAAAGCAGATGTTTACAGCTTTGGAGTTGTGGCATTAGAAACTGTGAGCGGGAGGCATAATATGAGTTTTGGGCCGGAGAACACCTGTGCATGTCTTTTGGATATGGTATCTCACTGATCTATGCTCTGTCATTCTTGCTTCAATTAATGATTTTTTTCAGGTTAGCGTTCGCTGCATCTCCATTTATCCCTATACTTTGCCGTATGCATCCCTCAGCTTATTCTCTGGCTCTCTTAAATGGTGGTTGTCCCTCAGAATATCTGATTGTTGTTTTTGTATTATCAAAAAATTCCCACATATAATCAAACAAGTCGTGCAGTAAACTAACAGATGCTGTGGCTCATTCTTGAAAAAGAACATGGATGTACCTGGAAAGTCTAGGGTAAAATGCACGGAATTCTTTTAAATTAAGAACCACCCTAATCTAAATCTAATTGCTTTTGTTTTGTTGAACTGATCCTCATTATAAACGAAATTCACTTGGTTGATACACCATTCAACTATTTAAGGATCACAATGCCCTAGACTAGGTATAAACTGTCATGACTGGTCATTCTAACTCTAACAGTGCGAAGGATTGTGATTTTGGCTCATGAAATAACTGCTAATTCATGAACTTTATAACAATTTAGTTCTAAGGGATGAATTAAAAAGCAATGTCTACCTGATATTGTCCCATTTTACTTATGAAAAGCTAGTAAATATGACGAGTATAAATAAATGCACAATGAAAATTTTTTATTGTAAAATTTTCCCTTTCGTACACCACAGGCATGTCATTTGCAACAAAGTGGAGACCTGATGGAACTAGTGGATCAAAAGCTGGGGTCTGAATTTAACACGGTAGAAGCTGAAAGGTTGATTAAAGTAGCTCTCTTATGCACTAACGCTTCATCCTCACTAAGACCGGCCATGTCTGAAGTGGTGAGCATGCTGGAGGGAATGACTGCCATTCCAGATGTGATCCCGGAACCAAGTAGTTATAGTCAAGATTTGAGGTTCAAAGCCATAAGACACCATAGAAGACTAACATACAATCAGAGTGCACAAGAAACTCAGGACAATCCTTCAACATCATCTCGGCCCTTGTCAGTGTCGTCCTCTGCATCTGTCCGCGATCTCTATAGCGTTAACATTGAGTCCTCTCCATCTGTCCACGATCTCTATAGTGTTAACATTGAGTCCCATATCAGGTCTAGAGCTGCTGATGACCATTATAAAACAATGGAAAGCCTGAGTTCACAAGAAAGCGAGATCCAAGTATCAACAACAACGCCTTCATGGGTCGGCTATTCCTCTACATCGGCCAGTGATCTTTATGATGTTAATATATAGTCCCGTTAATCTGAAGTTGAGTGAAAATACCCATCCATATTGTGTTGATTGATATTATAGAACAGCAACTTACTAGATTTTTCATATCATATGTGAAGATTTTATAGCAATTTGGTAGTTTGAATGTCTGTATCAAAAGCTCTGTTGGGCACTACCAAAAGAGGAAGGAAAGGATACAACTAAAATAGAGAACTTCATTTTCTTTGTTTGGTTTTGTTGGAGAATCATGAGGAAATGCAATTCAATAAATCCAAAAGGGTGTGTGTGTAGTGTTTATTTAGTCCCTATTCTTTTAATTGTGTCTATTTGGTCCTTCAGATTCCTAATTGTTAGAAAATTGTGACGGTTCCTGCTTCAATGAACTACCAAAATTCGAACTCAAAACGTTTAGATTTATAGCTCGTCTTTATTACCACTTAAGCTATTCCTTGGAGATTGTCGAATGGTCATCGAGTAATAAAGCACTAAATATTTAAAACAACTACCATTTCATACTATTTTTGTGTACTATCTCAATTTAGACCTTGGACTTGTGGATCCCACAAAATATATTCAATATTTTAGGCTATATCAGTCCATAGTGCACAAAAGTAGTATGAACAACATTATATTCCCAAATATTAGTGGTATAACCCAAAATTGGATAAAATGAATTTCACATCTTCCCTGTAATAGTATAAGTTTGAGTTCACAATTTCCAATCAAAAGAGAAAACTTCAAATGTGGCCAAATCAATAGTTAGTATTTACAATAGACACTAATATGAAGGAGAGACATGAGAGGGAGACTCTCTTATGTATGAGACTATTCTTTATGGTGTCATGCAATCTTATCTTCTTTTTTTTTTTTGTTTCTTTTTATGGACTCGGTAATAACATGTTACATATTATTTATTACAAATTAAAATCCCTGTAACTCTAATGGGTAGTTCAAATAGTAACAAGAGATGAGATACAAATGTAGATATCCTGAGTTCGAATCTTGACAAATTTTTGAGGCCAGACTATGAGGAATTTATACCATAGTCCTAAATAAATGGGTTGGGTATCTATATTAATTAATATGAGTTCTAAATAATTGAGTAATATTATTCATTTTAATCAAACGGGTTAATATGAATTGCAAATAGGTATCCATTGGGTTGAGTATGTATCTTTTTATTAAATAACAAAAGTAATAAAATTAAATAAATATATTAATATACCAAAAAAATACACATTATTACACCAAAAAATATACACATATATACTAGTACACCAAAACATACACACACTAGTACACCAAAAACACACACACTAATATACCACTAATGACCCACAGACTGACCCATGACCCCGAGCCAACCATGGTCCATCAACCGATCCACGACCCATGGACCAAATCATAGTCCACAATTGACCCTGATCCATTAGGTGTGTATTTTTTTTAGTAAATGTGTTTTAGTTTTTGTGTTAGTATATGTGTGTGTATTTTTAGTGTATTAGTGTGTATATTTTTAATGCATTAGTTTGTGTGTGTTTTGGTGTATTAGTGTGTATGTTTTAGTGTACAAATATGTTTATTAAGAATTTTAATTATTTTATGGACTAATTGGTTTAATTCAACCCGTTATAAACACAACTCATTTATTAGGTGAGTGAAAAATGAAATTAGATTTATTTTAGCCCAATCCAATTTAACCCAACCCATAACCAATTCAATCCACCAATTTACCACCCCTACATTGAACCAAAAAAATAAAATCTTTGTCAACATTTCTCTTCTTTTAATAAAATTAGACTCGTTATATATTTTGATACGTCACAATATATTTTCTTTTTCTTTTGGAGGACTTGGGCAACCATTTCACGAACTTAGGGTCAATCCTAGCTCATATCGCCTATAATTGCTATTTTCTAATCTCATTATATTGTTTTTAGAATATTTAATATATCAAAAGGGAGGAAAAACATATACTCATGGAATGAAAAAAGATTAAAAAATTTTTTCGAAACGATGCAAACGTTCGAAACATTTCCGTTTCAATGAGATCGAAACAAATCAGTAATTGAATCGAAATACTAATATTTTAAGATATTCCATAATATTGCAAGATGGTTATAATATTTCAATGTATTTGTATAATTATTTTGGAATGTTTCAAGGTATTTCAAGATATTTTGACCAATATTTTGAAAAAATAAATCTTAAATTTTGCATTTTTTTTTGTTATGTTTCCAAAACGGGATCGAAACGTTTCTAAGACATGTTGAAATATGTCCGTTTTTTAGTTGAATAAAACAAAATACCGAAACAAAATTTTGATCCTTTAATAAAACTCGAACCCCGACACTAAATGCCGCGGAATGATGCCCTTGCATTGGACGATTACTTTTGACGACATTTTGTTATATTACGAGGCCCAAAGTTATCCTTTATTCTAACACGAAATTGCACCAACCAAGCCCACATTTAGAAAAGAAGCATGCTATTTTAGGAAGTGTTGTTGATTTTGCAGTTCAGAGAGAGAGAGAACAAAGGTTTTATATGTACACAGACAGAACACGTTATAAAACCGAAAATTACATGACCGATTAACATGAATAAGAAATAGGTCAAATTGAGGTTAAACACGAAAAAAACGATTAAAATAGTATTGTAAACACAAAATAGGTGTTTTATAAATTTTATAAATTTCTTTACATAGTATGCCCTAAAGTCCAAATTGAGAACGTTTTATTGTGGATTCATAGATTGAACTTGACGGGTTTTACAACAAAAAATCCCTTGCTACACAAGTCACGTTACCGCATTCGTTTAGTTGAGATGCCAAGAAGCGGTAATGAAGACTGACAAGTATATGAATGAAGTCGAAACAAGAAGTGTGCTTTGGAACTGTTCTTCACCGTTTCGTAGCCGGAGCAACACCGTGGAGTACACTGGAAGGGAGAATGGTGGGAATGATTTCTTGCAATGCAACTCCAAATTTATGACCAACCTTTCTTTCAATAATTTTACAAGAAATAGGAGTTTTTCCATTGTAAATTCGTACAGAAACAATTAACGAATTTCAACGAAATAGAAGATCTATGTGAGAAAATGTTCATGTTCAAAAGAAGATCTCTCTCTCTTCTTCTTCATCCTCAATAGGAATGCATCAACAAAATTGTCCTTCCATATAGATCGTTGTGTGTCATGTGAGTTTTTTTCCGGTGAGTAGATAGCATCATATAAGTTATTTTAGACTAAAATAATTTTTTGTTGACACGAATATTGACACTAACACGATTCAAAATGACACGATATACAAATAACATGCCACGACACAAATTGACACCACTACCTAGCTGCATATGAAGTTTGATTTGAGCACGACTATTATAGCTAATAACAACCTTTTCCAAGAATTAAATCCCAAATGCTCCAAAATTGTGGTTGGGTAAAGTGATTAGTACAAGTGCTATTTAGGCAAAATATCTGAGGGTTAGTATCAGCCACATCCCTGTGGATTACCATAAATGCAAGGCACACCACCAAACCTTCACCACCCATTGAACCCACAAAACCACCACCAAACGGGCAGCAAACCACCATAACCAAGCCACCCAAATTATATATTTTCTAAGCTCAAAATAAAAACAAAACAAAACAAATTTTACCAAATTTATCACAAATTTGGGATGGAGGCCAACCTTAGTCGTGGCTTCATTGTGGCCATGGAATAATTTTTTCGTCGTTGATTGGGCTATAGAAGCGGTTGTGGAATTCTACGACCGCCTCTGCAACCCAATCAACTACATTGTTGCTATGCGGAGGTCGGAGGGCCTCGAGTTGAAAAGTGCAAAAGAATTCAGAAAGAGAAATTCAAAACTTCAACCTCAGCTGTTAATTCTTGATTGCCATCACCACCATGAGATAGGAGTGCAAGTGTCATTTCAAAAACTAGTTAGTGTTCACATGTTTTGCACATGGACAATCTCATTACAAATATTTTGTTTAGCACCAAAAAAAAAAAAGAAGTGATCCTGACATTACAAATAGCAAAAGTTAACTTAATAAGATTGTGATTTTAATTTTTTTGGGGGATCAAAGGTTAAAAAAGTTTCAATCTCTATTTGCTCAACTCAAAACAAATAATATTTTTCATGTACATAAACTAAAGCTTTTTCAAAATGTTCACTGTTTAACATAAAAAGCTCATAGGTCAAGTCATATCTTGTGTGTTACGCAAAAAAGTTGCTTTAGACGCAAATCTCTAACACAAAAATCTAATGAAAATATCAGATAAATTATTGTAATTCAAATACCTTAATTTGACCTGCATTAAGCAAAAATAGTAGGATTAAACTCGATAAAATAATGTCTATATATTGATCATTCTTTTGTAAAATCTAATCATATTTGACATTATAAATACACACCCAATGACGAGATAAACTATTTAACACGTGGTTATGTCATAGATAAGACATGCTCACCTAAAAAGAAGATCGCAAAATCTTACTTCTATGGCTACTTGTTGTTTAATGATTTTGCAGATTTCTTGAGATATTTTTTTCAAGATAAAGTAAAAAAAAATAATGAAGAGTTGAAGTTGAAAGTAATTGTCCCACTAACATTCAATCAAATGACTAAAAAACTAAACAAGCATAAGTTCTTACTGCATTATGTTTGTGCACATAAATTTATGATCAAAACCATCAGCATACAAAGACAAGCTCACAAAGCTCTTTTTATTTTTGAATAAATTGTAAGTCTCCAAAAACATAAAAAGGGACAAAAGTGATTACTTAGGAATTGAGTTCTATGATGTAGACGGAGCACTTTCACGTCAAACAAATACATTAAACAAGAAAATTATTATATCAATCCTTGAAACCTAGTAGGAAAGAGAGAAAAAGTTTTAAAAGTTTTTTGTAACTACCATAAATTCTTGATTTTTCTACGTCTATAAAATCCAGACATCAACTCAGGAGAAAAGTTTCAAACTTTTTTGGAGTCACAAAAAACTTTTAGCCTACGAATATTAAAACCTCAAATAAATTTATATAGTTAGAATTACAAGACCAAAAGTTGTCGAGTCCATTATGTGGGGAAACAAAAAGGTGATAGTGTACTATTTTGTTATTAATCATAATGATATATATCAATGTCATTAGAGATAAAATCAATAATTAAAGTTGAAATGAATACATGAAATACCAAGTATATGTGTATAACTAATTTAAAGAGATGAAAGAATATGAGAGGAGTATGAAATTAATTGGAGAAGATAAAAAAAAATTGTTCAATGGAATTA